CAAACGACATCATTATGGACACCCGCCCGCTACAGAGTAAGCAGGAGCTGGACCCTGACGCAGCGATCAAGAGAATTGTGCCTGGCGGCGAGGCAGAGCAGGATGTCTGGTCAGGGACTGCCCCATCCCCAGCCTGCTCCGTATGATCCCGATATATCCAAGGAAATCAACCTCCAAGTAGGTAGGTAGGTAACTGTAACATGGAGTGTTCGTCCACCTGCACGCCCACCCTGTTCCTGGCTTTGCATATGTCATGCTACCCTCTCTGGGTGTTGCAGACGCCACTTTCCACAACCCAATCATCCCACACTGGCGCCCGATTCCGCACCTTTCTCATTGTCCAGCTTGATTGCGCTGAAGTCCTGTTGTTTGCTTGCATCGTTGGGATTTTTTTTCCTGCCCTCGTGATGCATGAATCCCCCCACGCTCACGCCATGAAAACTGGGGGGGAACACCTCCAACAGGGAGTCGCATCTTGTGCTCTATGCGTACCAACCGATTCTTGTCTCTTTCCTTCGGTACTGTGGGAACGGGAGAACTACAACGTGGGTGGGATGGTACACACCAAGTCCGTTCCCATTACCCGGTTGTCTGAATTTGTGAGCTTTAGTACATTTGGTAGACTGTTATCTACAGTTTTAGAGGAATAGTCAATTGGGAATCTACGTATAGGCCACTTCTCGGACATGATAGTAAACAGAATACCTCGATAGTTTGAGTGACGCAAAAAACCAAACAAAAAGAAACCCAAAACTTCAAGGTACGTTGCACACGATGGTAAAAAGGACCTCAGTAATCGAAGGTTACACAGATAACCCCACGTGGGACTCGAACCCACAACCTCAAGATGACCCCAAATAGAAGTCTTGCGCGCTAGCCATTGCGCCAGTGGGGCGTATGGCAATTTTGCTTTTTTGGTGTATATATTCCCTTGCCAGCATCGAAGAATGGAGTAGTGTGTTTCCTCCAGGACTTATCAACGACTACAGCGAGAACTACGACTGTAAGAGTTCTAGTAACAGTGGTAAGGAGATGGTTGTAGTGGAGCCATGGCTGTAACTGCAAATATTGGGTATTTCATTTTCGAAGCTGTAAGTGGAAGCATGTGATTCCTTTTACTTCTTGCTTCAGTACGTATTCCGTAACTATGTATGTGCTTTTTGCATTGAGAACTCGTTTGCACCGCTTCATTTCTTCTTCATTTTTCAAACATACAAAATTTCATGATGCTTTTCATTCGGGCTTATCATATCAGTTGTATTTGCCCCAAAGAGGCTGAGACTCGAAAGGTCTACAACGTCGGAAACTGCAGACTCAGAGCTCCGGGGAAGCTCCCCTCGAAAGCGTAGAGCTGAAGTCAGTACTGACTTAAAGCATGAAGGCAGCGAGTGTGACAGCCTAATCACTCGGCGGAAGGCTTGAAGAGGATGAGTGTGTCCAGCATAGCACAATGATCCTGCATGGCTCGCGTTTTCCGGACGTGCTAAAGAGGCAAGTGCCTCTTCAATCCTCTTCACAGCTATCCCATCAGCCAACATCTTCTCGGAAACCCATTCTTGGTCTTCTTGTTGACTTTGCTATACTTCAATAGGATTCCAAAACTCAAGATAACTTAGACTTTCTAAATTTAGAAGAGTTGTGCTGCACTCTGGTTGAAGAGATGCGGACTGAAATGCTGCTCGACTCTCAAGATTGCCCATACTACAACCTCATTCATTCAGAAAAGGGGGTGTTCCATACTTTTGTTTGCGAGATTATATCATACACAGTTGAGGAAAAAAAAATTCAAGGTTAATCTGTTTCTCGCTAAACTCTGGATTCGATCTTGCTCGTCAGACCCTATGGGATATACGTGTATTATAACAGATATTCGCAATATTTATATTCTCGAATCTACATTGGCCAATGCCCCGAATGTGAGAGAGGAATCTACAACCAGCGCATACAGCCTATGCTAAGCGGTGCATTGGATCTCTGCACTGTTATATTGTCTGGCTCGGTAATAGTAACCGGATAGCCAACTTCGTGGGGCTCTGGAAAATGCCAGTAGAAGAAAATGAAGGCGGAACAGACGACTGGTTTCAAGCTCGCTTTAATTTTCCAGAGGCGCTACTTTGCAGAATAAACAGACTTACTCGATCGACTTTGAAATGGCGGCGGGGCTTTCAACGTCAGTTGTCGCCCCTCTCCAGAGTACATTGCGTAGTGCGGATTATTTATGGGCAAGGCTCCGATATCAATGCTCCCATGCCGTCATGCAATACAAGTTGGTGCCTTCAAGTAAGCAGATAACGATCATATGCCTGGCATTGTTTTGATTGGCCAGCCCCTTAAATTTCCAACTAAACAATGAAATGACTTCATGCTTTAAACACCAAAATCGTCATCCGCGTATGCATTGACAGCAGCTTACAAAAATTTACTAACAGAAAATTTGACAGGTAGGTAGGTATTATTAGGAGGGCGAAATGTCGTACCAAGGGACCTTTTGCTAGCCTCTGGATTCGATGCCAACATAGATAGAATTGGCAAACGCAGAGCAAAAGTCCTCATGCATGTGATACTTTTCCAGCATCCGTCAGAAACCCCCTTTTAGATGGCAACCCAGATCAACATGATGACCACGTCCAGTCCCTTGCTCTCTCCGCCGTCGTACTTGTATGTCCACATGCCATCCTTCTTCTCGTCCCAGTAGGCTCCGGTGGCGCTGTGCATGCCGCGGCGGCCGACGTGAGGCTTGCCGTCTGTGGCGGTGGCCTCGGAGCTGGTCGAAATGTGAGGCTCCTCCTTGGTCTCGCTGCCGCCGCGGGCCTTGTTCAGGGCCGACGTGGGGACGAGGTGCTGCACGATGGTGCTGTTGCAGGCGAACTTGTAGGAAGGGTTGGTGGCGCCCTGGGGGGTAGCCTCTGAGATGACGGCCTTCAAAAGGGCGTTCTGGAGGTGCTAAACGTTAGAGTCCGGGCCCTTACTCTCCCTCGTCTGGGTGGGTATGCGACTGACAATAATAGAAGAGTTCCATTCCTCGGTCTTCGCGTGGTCGTAGAACTCGACGCTTCCAATGGCGTTGTTGCACACCTATTCTCCTCGTTAGGTTCGTCATGTTCGCATGATTCAAGGCGCCATGTTCGGCAGAGACAATCAAGTCGGTCGGGGTCTCATACATCGGTAGCAATCTGCTTTAGGCGAGTGAAAGAGACGGGCTGCAGAGAGAAACATGAGTCAGTAATGATGGCCATTTAGGATCCGCTGTAGGATTGTTTTACTCACAGGAGTAGCCATTTTGAAGAATGATGCTGTTTACTGATCACACAGAGAAAAATAAGGGGTCCGAGCGAGGATGTTGTCTTTATCAAGAATTAGCAAAGGCTATCAGGGGATTGGTAAAAGAAAAAATGGGGTGATGAGATGTAATTGCATCTATGCATACCTTGAAAAAAGAGGAATCGCGTCTGTATGGCCACAATTCGAACGCGGTACGACTGTTGACGTTCTAGTCCCATTTCCCTTTTGGTCGGTGGCCTGTCTGATAGTGATGCTCTCGCGGGGCAACCGCCTGAGTCACGTGCTTTAGCATCTCTAGAGCTACCTACCTAGCAAGGAAATCACTTGCCTCAGTACAGTGATATTTGCAATGCATTACAACATAATGGGTAAAAAATATGACCTAGAGAATTTGATATCACAGAGGCCTGTCGAGTTTTACATCCATCTAGCACACCAATGCATATGCAAAGCATTCAATCTGTGAGGTTCCTGGATGAAGACTGTCTAAGTCAACCCAGGCACGAACCACACCGGAACGAGTGGAGACCAAGTCCAACCATGGAGTTGTTGTCGGCGCTGAAACTCCCCACGTGCCCTCTAAATGCTCCCAATTCAGGCTAGGTGGGGGCCTTGTGTGAAATCGTCACTACCAGCCTTCGTCTAGCTCTTTGCTCCCTTGGAATTTTATCCCCCCTTCATATCGAGGAAAGCCATTGAGTATTGCTCGAGAGAAATTAAACCCGCCCTGCAGCTCGCCCGGACCAGCATTGATTTTGGATATTACTATTGCCGCTCCCGTCCCCAACCAAAAGCTCAATCGAGAAAACACGGCTTTAGGAGCTCCTGATCAGCGTCATATCAACAAAAGCTTTGCAACGAGGGTTTTAACATCGCCACCATGTCTTCCCAGCCTCTTCTCCAGACCGCTCCAGGTACGCGCTCTTTCTGTTTTCTATTTCCAAGTGACGCGAAAGCTAATAGCTCCATTTAGGCAAGCGCATTGCCCTTCCCACGCGAGTCGAGCCCAAGGTCTTCTTCGCCAACGAGCGTACCTTTCTGTCCTGGTTGAACTTCACAGTTGTCCTGGGCGCGTTGGCGATTGGAATGCTCAACTTTGGCGACCGCACCGCCTTCATCTCGGCCTTCCTCTTCACCGGCGTCGCCATGCTGACCATGATCTACGCATTGATCACCTACCACTGGAGAGCCAAGTCAATTAGGGTGCGAGGACAGGCCGGTTTCGATGACCGGTTCGGCCCTACGGTTCTGGCCATCATTCTCCTACTGGCCGTCGTCGTGAACTTTGTTCTGAGGATTACCGATCGCTCCAAGAAGCAGCAGGACGGCCAATTGTAAATGGATTAAGGGAACCACTTGTCGGCCCGGGAAACCTGGATTTTCTGACCGATGAGGTGGTCAATGGGGAAAATACGAGGATGAAAGTCTCTTGTCTATGCAATCGGATACGGGGGTGGATCTGGGCACAGGAGTACTTGCTGGCTCTTCAATCGGGGACGCGCAATTGATCGGGAAGAGGAGGAATGATGGTTTGGGTTGTTTGCTCCAAATTTGTAAGTGAAAACTGTTTAGTATTGTTTCTATAGACTTGAGGGTATCTCGTACTGTTCCTTGATTAATTCTCCGTGACCTGGACGCCATAAATCGCAAATAGTTCCGTTCGTATCGTAACGCGGCACAAACTTGCCGCCGATGTGGGTTCACAAGTTCGCCCACATCTAGCTTCCAAGCGCCTGTAATGTCACGTCGCTCATCTGCTTCAGCTCGGGGACTGGCATGGGGGCAATGAATATTCTCAGAGATTTGATGACCTTGGTATCAGGTGGGGGCTGAATCGCCTGCTCAAATCGGGATTCCATGACCTCGAAATCATCCTCCTCTGACTCCTCGTCCTCAGCGTCTTGTAGCACGGTGGCCTCGACGATCTCGGGCTTCTTAGCTTCGAGTGGCAGGTCGAAGAGTTGATTGTACTGGTAAAACGGGCGGCCCTCCTTTTTCAGAATCCGTTTACACTGTTCCACCACCGTGATGAGTTTGCAGGCTTCCCTCGGTCGCGCATGCAGCAACACCACCGGTCGAGACTGTCCTTGACCGTTATCGCTTGCGGCATCATACTGCCGTACGTGCTCCGTAGCGCGAACAATTCGATTGCGGATTCGTGTCGATGAGATGATCGAAGCTGCGAGGACGTCGTACTTGGGCGCGAGGACTGAAATGATGGAGCTGTGGGGAGAGGAAAGATTCGTCTCTGCCGTTCGCGATTCTTTTGGCCGTCGGCGTTTCTGGACTTGTTGTTCCTTTCGTTGTTCGTCTGGGGATTCCTTCTGTTCATCCACCCTCTTCCGCTTCATTAGCCCCTGCGCATCGGCGGGCGCCGACTTGTTGCTTTTCGCCATGGCTATGATGATGTTGGTTGAGCTGATCCAAGCCTTCTTTTTCGTGTGTGGTGGGTCAGTGTTGGTCCAAGGCTTATCTTATCGCGCCTTGTAGGTCCGTGTAAGTGAGCTCTTCAGCTAACACCACACTCCGTCAAATACAAGAAAGAAGATAACAACATGGATATCACACCAAGCAGACCGACACTTTTGTCTCAGTTCGTGGTGGCCAAAAGCTGGAAATGTCTGACTATTCCAGCCTCTTCGTGCGACTGGCACTCGCCCTTGAAGCTACTGGCAATAACTGGAGCTTCAGCTACTAGATGATGGTAGTGACTCCATTGTACGGCATTTGAGGTAGAAGAGACAAAATCAAGGGCATACTAGCGCTTCAGTTCTTTTTGACCGCCGTATGTTTGTTTTGGGGACCTAGCGTTAATATTCTCCTCGTGGTGCTTCGTGGGCCGTAACTCCAATAACTGGCTCCAGATACGGCAATCGGAAAATATTGAGATTCATTCCAGAAACAGCATCCTCTACAGTAATGAGCATGCTGTCTTGAGCTAAGATTCAACCCTGCATGATTTAGAGATAAATTAGAGATAGGTAGTTTCTTTGCCCTCAAACCATACGCGCCATGGCTCTCTAGGCCGGAAAGAACCAGCCGCAGATGGCACCACACAGACCAGTCCAGGCTAGTGGCGCCGGGTAGTTGGCCCGGGAGTGCTGGTTGGCTCGATGCGCTTTGACTTTCTTTGTGCATGGGACAACTACTAGTTCCAGCAGGGCACGACTCGCTCGCTCGCTTGCTCTAGCAGCAAGCGGGTGCTGTAATCCAGCCCAGTCTGTTGTAACCATGGAATAAATAAGATCGATTACAAGTAGACGAACAGCTATTTCTCACCGGCGCGTGTTCCCGACATATAATATCCAAGCTTGTTAGCAAGAACTGGCTGCGCTAGCCACGCGGCTGGGTCCTGGTCTTGGTGCCGATCTAGCGACCCGGACAGCTTGCCCCCTGCTCGTGGAAGATGGGATCTTGAAAGTGAGAACAAGGGCATTTGCAAGGACAGCATGCACCATGAAGGGGCTGATATGCCAGAGGCACAGCGGTAAGCTTTCTCCAGGTTTTCTTGTCAAACAGAGCGCTGTTACATCTGGGCGATTCCTTTCAGTTGGTGTCTCAGCATGAACTCAAATCGGTTTGACAAAGTCTCTAAGATGTACTATACATCTAGCTTCCCTGTCAGTAAGTGGAGAGGGTGTACATGGTGGTCAGCAGCGACGCGAGGGTACCTACCTCCATGCATGTAGGTACCTACGTATTATGCGTCCCTAAATGTGGACCACGAGCTATTGGTCGGCGGAGTGGGCAGCTGAAGGTCGACCGATAAAGCTCCAAGCTCCCTTTCTAATGATGAGCTGTGATATTTATGCAGCTCCGTGTGAAGTGCTCAGTGATTTCACCTTCACCGGGATGCTGGTGCCAGAGATAAGCGCTTTGATTGAGCCAATATGAAGAATAGAGTAGACCGTAGATAGAGATAACGAATAGCAGGATGATCTGCGGGATCCTGTCACGATCCATCGAGTGCCAGGGAAGGAGCTTGCAGGTGGCCCCGCCTGAGCCAGCCACATACCAAGTCCTCAGGCGAGCCCCTCACCACCCTTGAGCCATCGAGCTTCGCACAGGCCGGTTGGTCAGATTGACATGTTTCTCCATGGGTGATGTGTATGAAACTAGGAGGCAAGGCGGTAAACGTGAATGTGAACCATCGAAAAGAAAAACAGCCCACGGGAGAGTCAAAGGAGACTAAAAGAATAGACAAAAGGCCTTATGATATCAACATACAAGTCTTGTCGTTGTCAGATAGCTAGGTACTTAGGTTGCAAGATATGCTTTCGAGCGAAGGTTACCTATTATGGGTCTGAGCGGTACTTTGGCCCCCAGGATACATTCATGCTACTGGCTGTATTACTCCATCTCTCCCGATACACTGTTTCATTCCCACCAGGCATGTCATCCCAAAGAAGAACGCGGATGGGCGCAGCGAGTAGGCGTGCATGTTCGGTGAGAGTGAGTCTGCGACTGCCTGTTCACAATGCACCCTCAATGCCTGGTTGCCTGAGCAATGTGCAGGTTTGCTCGATATTGCACCCGTCAGCCTGATCATGTATGCACAATCACGTGAGCGACTAGTAGGGACCGGGCGGCCTCTGTCCATGTAAGTGGCCAGGGCACAGGGATGGAGGTACCTGTTGGATGGGGCCTTATGCACACCTTCCTTGGAAGGCCCACAGTGGATCCCACCCAAAACAAACAATCTCCCCAGAGGCGACCCAGGCAGCCCACCCATCGCTCGCGTTGGCTAGCACTTGCGACATCCCGCCAAGTCAGTGGCATAATTGGCTGCGTCGATGGATGGCTGCCTTTGATTCAGTCAGACCTGTCCGCTCTCCCCGTCGCTGTATGTCGTTCTCTCCCTACTTCGCTCTCCCCCAAACACACGCAACACGGCCACCACCACACCACCTCGTCGTTTATTCTAGCTACAAACTCATTTTTCTCTCACTTGCTCCTTCTAATAATTGTTAACTTGCATACACCCTGTCTTGTTTTTTCTTAAACTCTTCTTTTGATTCCCTCCTCTAGCCGACTTGTTTTTTTCCCTTTTCCCAGACCGGCTTGCGTCTCATCTCACCCCTTCTCTCCATCCCCAGTCACAAGCACCACTGCCTGCTCCGGCCACCAACCAGACCCTCCCTCACCACCCATCTGTTGTTCCTCGGCGACCAAGCCAACATCCCCTCCTCCCGCTTCTGATTCACGCAGCAGGAGGCCTGTGACCGAAAAAATCTACCGCAGCCGTTTGTCTTATTTGCTTGTGGCCTGCATACCTCCGCAGTCAAGGACAACTCATTTACGTATTGTGACCTGACAGGTGCATCATTGGCCCCCTAAAGTTGGTGCCAACTGTCGCAGCCAAAATAGGCAGCATCATCCTTCCCCTATTTTGACCGATCCACGGCGCCACCCACCATTACGTCAGCACGCCTCCGGCTGCAGCCCGTCGCATTACACACCTCCGGTCGCATTCGCTTTGCGCCGCTGATTCTCTCTCTTTCCACCACTTTAGCTTTCGTTGCGACAGCTTCGCTCCAACGACCTAAGCGTTTGTGCCTCCGCTGCGCAACATCACCCACATCTCCGGTATCGCGCGACAAGTCATGTTTCGCTTTTGGTCCTCAGACTCGTCATCACCGAAGCCTCTGGAACCACTACAGCAAGTCCAAGATATCAACAACCCCTTGCGACCAACGACCGAGATCACGACCGACGCTGCAGCGCAATCACCGAAGCGCAGACGACAGAGCTGCGACGATGGAGCCTCACCAGATTTGACAGTGCCCGCGAAGAAGGCTCGGCTGGAAGATGTCGGCCCCAGCGGTTTGGTGCCGTCGAGCGAGCGCTGTGCGCCGCGGTCTCTTGGGAACCCGGACGACGTCCAAAGCCTGCGCGACAAGATTGAACACATTTTAGGAACCGAGATACTTGTCAAGCACAACGAGAAGCGTTTAATCGATCTGGAATTAGCAAAGTGCCAGGCTGCACTGGAACAACTGCGCAGATGCCATTTGATACCTTTCCCCGTGAGCCAGGCAACGCCTGAACAGATGATTGCCACATCGAACGGTACCGGTCCTGCTATTAAACCCAACACTGGCGGCCCTGTACCGCGTTGGGCGCCGCCCTTTGGTGTTACAGACGGCCCGTATGCTCGACATTACGCCCAGTGGCTCATGCCAGATCCAGCATTTGATGGCTTGGAACCTGAAGGATTCTTCTCTGTCGATGGTGGTCGCATTATTCTCCCTGTTACGGAGGGAAGGACTACGAGACAAACTATCGCTGACTTTGTCGGTCCAAATCGAGGCCGATCTTCTCGCGGACTTCCGGGACACAAGATTCAATCATTGCCTAGCGGGCGTCCGGAACCCAAGAAGAAGTCCGGTCCATGCATCTTAAAGCGAGCTGACGGACAAACTGTGAAACTTGTGTGCCTCGATTGCCAAAGAGAGGACTTCTCCAGCACCCAGGGGTTCATTAACCATTGCAGAATTGCTCACAAGCGTGATTTCAAGAGTCATGAAGAAGCGGCAGTGAAGAGTGGCCAGGCTTTCGAAGCCTCAGAGCCAAGTCCAACTTCGATCACACCCACTGAGGATAAGCCACCAGCTACCCCGGTAGTGAGGCCAACAACATCTGTCCATCCATTTGCGCGCGCCGATATGACTGAGCAACAAGCCTACATCGCACTTCGATCCCGGATAGCTGATTCAATGGAGTTGATACGGCAAGGCAAACTTCCCGGGCTCGCACCTATGGTTATGGCAAGGGCGAAACCCTCCACTACGAGCACTGGCCGACAAGGTGGAGATGAGACTGATGTGGTTCCGGAAACACCCTATCTTTCTCAGCTACTCAAGGTGAAGGCCTTCGGCGGCAAGCTACGAGATATCGTTGATGACGCTAAGACTAAGGAAGTGCTGAGCGACGTCTTGCCTGACGAGGAGGATTCGGACCTGGAAGAACCTTCAGACTCACTGCCTACTCGACCCCCTGTTGTTAAGCGCGTACCGGCCAAGAGCACCAAATCTCCATTGGCAGCAGCAGCCCGCCCTGCCAACCACAAACACCATGAAAGCCCACTTGCGACCCAGCGTCAGCATCATCGTATTGTGTCTGCCACATCCGACGAGGACGCAGAAATGGAGGAACCCTCGTTGAGCCCCAACACCATAATAAGCAACAACGCCCCCTCGCTCGTTAGCGATGATGGGGAATATGACGACTCTGACGAAGGATCATCGGTCTCTGGCCAGAGCGATGGCCTGGATACAGAGTCAGTGTCCGACATTGCCGAGATTAACATTGATGATGAGCATGACCCGCGTGGTCTTCGTCGTACATCCACCGGCGTCCCAAGCACTGTTCGGCTTCGACAAGAAGATCCCAAGCA